TGAGAAAGAAAAGAGAGGGAGAGAGGGAGAGAGGGAGGGGGGGGGAGAGAGAGAGAGAGAGAGAGAGAGAGAGAGAGAGAGAGAGAGAGAGAGAGAGAGAGAGAGAGAGAGAGAGAGAGAGAGAGAGAGAGAGAGAGAGAGAGAGAGAGAGAGAGAGAGAGAGAGAGAGAGAGAGAGAGAGAGAGAGAGAGAGAGAGAGAGAGAGAGAGAGAGAGAGAGAGAGAGAGAGAGAGAGAGAGAGAGAGAGAGAGAGAGAGAGAGAGAGAGAAAGAATAAAGTACGGAAAGCTCGGCGCAAGTTAGTGGACATCAACCCTATACCGGTGGATATTGATCCTCTACTCTCATCTCACCTGAGAAGGGTAGCGCGAACCTCGGTCCTGGGCGTACGCCACATTTCCAGCAGAGACAGCTGCTGGAAGACCGTCGGGAAGATGACATCAAACGCTGAGATGGTCAATGTTGCCGCCAAACCACGGATGAACAATGTGAACTGCTTTCCATAGGATATATCGCCGGTTATTTGTCGCTGTGCAACGAAACAAAACAAGGAAAACGACCATTGAAGTTGTCAGTGTTCAGTTAACGCCGGTTTCACTTTGGTTTGAAAACAGTTCAGCATTCCAAACCACGGTTTTCATTCAATTGTCGTCGAGGAAATCATCGAGAAGAAAGTAGTGAGCCATTGTCTTGCGCGGAGTTCGGAGTTGACCCTCGTCTCACACATGATCGACTGACGATTCATGAAACTATACTACGTATTGTTTCCATGGAAACATCGCCACGGTCACAGCACTGATGTTGTCGCACTGTACTGCATGTAGTACCATGCAATCGACAACGGGTCAGTACAGTCGGCGGCGCAGTCTAGGACTATATTTCAGAATGCTCTGTCTCCATATCAACGTGTTCGGCCTAGTTTCCTAGCATGTGACAGCTTTTTTTTAAGTGAAATGTTTTTTTAAATTATTGATATGTTTTGTTCTGCGTGGTTTGAGCCATTCTGTAACTACTCGCAGCTTCACAGTACCGTGCAAGCGAGAAGAAAACGCAACTGTGCCAGTCGCACATGAACAACGACAAGCTCAGGGAAGGTGTAGTAGAATTACGGGACTACAGTCCGTTTCAAAAAGATTTGCAATCCTGGCGATCGCCCGCGGAGTTTGGCGTCTTACCGTATGAGCACTCGAGCGCTGCCTGGAAAAACTCACTGTGAACTCGAAGAAATATTCCGCGCGAAAGCAGGAAAAATGACAACTCACTCACGTTGATACAGTCATGTACGTCTGGTTTACAACAAACGAGTTCTTCCTCGTATCGATAATGGAGTCAGAGAGGACATGTCGAAACGAAAGTGTTGTAAATGTTGACGAGCAGCATGTGTCCCAATCCGTTTTGTGACCAAAATAGTTTCTTTGAGCTGCGATGCTGTGTGACGAAAACGACATCGACACGGACTCATTCCCAAGGCCATGACTTGGCAAAGCTATCCGTGTGACTTCGACGACATTTTGAGAAAAGCAGACGCTTGTGAACGCTGATAGAAGACGGCGTTGACTGCTAAATTCAAATAAATTGGCGATCTTGAAATACTAAAATAAATCTCAAAAAGCTACAGCGCGATGACTTCCATATTCACTCACACCATTGCAGTGCTGTGGGTGTGTTCACATGGCGTGAGCCAGTCAAGTGTCAGTCAGTTCGGCAGGAAGCGCGACTTCCAACAACAAGTCGTTTGGTGCAGCCATCTTCTTTGTCTTGTACCAGCTTGATCACCAAAACAATGAAAAAATTTTGACTTGAGGATAGGTTGGGATTTGAACTCACAACTTCATGGTCAGCAGACAGCATTCATAACCACAAGGCCAAAAAGGAAAGGATAAATCGTGGGTTTTGATAAAATATCGATACTGGCTTCCTGGGCAAATTGTAAACCATGGGAAAAGGCCGGAAACCTGGCCGAAATTCTAACTCCTTAACGGCTGGTCCAATTGTTCCGAAACCTTCACAGAACAATTTGCCGTGTCCTAACAAGCCATTCTATGTACTTTGTTGTCCAAATTTCCCTTATCTTCATACTTTTTAAGACCCAAACCTGATTGTAAATCTTTTTGAAACAGACTATAGGGACCTTTCGCATTTGCTACGAAACGAATGCGAAACGAAAGTTTGATTCGGCTCGTAATCGTTTTGTTGAAAACAGATTTCAGGTTTCGCAAGTCGTCATGCAAATGTGCATGGCAACTACGAATACGGCCGCGGGCGCCGGTAGTTTGGCGTACGGGTTTTTACACGCACACGTGCATGGATCATGGAATCAAGGGAGAAATGTGTACCTTGCAAAACATGTGTACCCATCCAAATAAATGTGTACCTGACGGATTCGGAGCGTGCCACGAATGAAGAGGCTTCCATTCGTGAAAACGAGTTCTCTGCAGGGACTCTGACGAATCCTCGAACCCAGGTGACGAATCAGCATTCGTTTCGTATCCGTACGCGGGGTGCGAAAGGTCCCTACTATCGGGTCGGGTGGAACTAGGGTAGTGGGTATAGTGTTCATACTATTCAATGCATATGTTATACGCATCCCATATTTGGATCTCGACCCCCGGCATGATTCATACACACTCCATTACCCCCTACCCCTGCATGCAGTAATTCGTACACATTCCATTACCCCCTACCCCTACCCCTGCATGCAGTAATTCGTACACATTCCATTACCCCCTACCCCTGCATGCTGTAGTTCATACGCATTCCATTACCCCCTACCCCTGCATGCTGTAGTTCATACGCACTCCATTACCCCCTACCCCTAGCCCTGCATGCAGTAGTTCGTACACACTTCATAACCATATTTGACCCATTACCCCCTACCCCTAGCCCTGAATGCAGTAGTTCGTACGTACACACTTCATAACCATATTTGACCCATTTCCCCGCTGCCCCTGCATGTAATAATTAGTACCATACACATTTGTAGCCCGTTTTCCCTCCTTCTGCCCCTGCACATAAAAACCACCGTACATTTGATCTGATTACATCCCTTTATAGTGTACATAGTCGGGCTATACACATAATAGAGAGGTTCTGCTACACGGAACTACGTACCAAACTCCGTGTCAACTGCAGTGAAGTTTGACACGGATTTTTCGTACGTTGCACCGGTTCTGCTGTACGTAGCATGCTCGAACCATGCACGGACACCCCGCCACATGTACTCTGTACGCTCACTTTTCACACGGAGTCCGGTCCGTGTGAACCGCGCTTCACACGGAAAACGGTATGAAAAAATCCGTATCAAACTAAATCCCGTACCGCGGCGAAGTTTCGATACGTACTTTGGCACGTTATACCGTGTGGCAGAACCTCACTATTATGCGCGCCCAGCTAAATGGGCGCGCTCATGCATTGCACCGTACGTTTTATTGTAGTTCACATGTAGATAATCAAGCGAGGTACAGAGGGCTTGATGGCTGATCAAAGCCCAAGGGTCCAGCCCGAGGGCCGTAGGCGCCAAGGGCTGGGCCCGAGGGCTTTGGTCATCAAGCCCGACTGTACCTCGCTTGAATATGCTTCAGACGATCCCCAACATTTTTTTATTTTGAATCAAACTCGCTTCATTCTTCATTTGGGTGATCTCGAGTGTGGACAATGTCGGCCTTTCGTTTGGGATTTCAGAGCAGCCTGAAGTCTAAAGTGCATGTCGTTTTCGTCCCGTTCGTAAGTTTCACACAGAGATTACAGCAAAGGGAAAGTAATGTCAGCGGACGAAAAACCTGTTTCGTGAGAAATTTCTCAGGACAACGTGTCAAGAGCCAGACGTGGCTGAAGTGTCACGGAAGTATTTTCACTTCGACCATACACGCCTTGCTCACGCTGCATACTGCTGAGAGTTCTGCGGTGCTGGAGCTAGATTTCCAACTCCACAACTTGAGAGCCACCGCATCCCCGACCACCACCCCTATCGGTTTCTTGTTCTTATAGCCAGATCACCTTGAAAAGACTGAGATTGGGCATGATCAGGGCTTTGATGGTTTTGTCGTACAGTTGCCAATGGCAGCGGGCTTTGATGGTTTTCTCGTACAGGTTGTCAATGACAGCGGGCTTTGATGGAATATCAAAGCCCGCTCTCCGAGGCTGCTGATTGGTCGTAACCTAGCAAAGGGCACGTGGGTCGTTTGAAAATATAACCAAACTTTCCATAATCTAGCCAGTAGTCGAATCCTTTCTCTAATGCTGGTGTCAATAATCTGTCCTCGTCCCGTGAAGTATACGACTCTCAACTATAATAAACTGGTATCTCTGGTGGTCGTGTGCGAACATAACAAAACCCTATTGATAACATTGGCGCCCAACGTGGGGCTCGAACCCACGACCCTGAGATTAAGAGTCTCATGCTCTACCGACTGAGCACATTGGCGCCCAACGTGGGGCTCGAACCCACGACCCTGAGATTAAGAGCATAACAAATCTAGGGGCAGACGGGCCTCCCTTCCGAACAGTAAGAAGAATGGGGTATAGTGAGTGGAATTATGCACACTCGTATTGTAGGCCAGTTGGACCACCAGCAACACCACCATCACCCCCGACATTACCACCAACCAAACCTTCAACAACACCTTCAACAACAAATCCAACATCAACTGCAACCACAACACCCTTCCCGGCACACAACACCACCACGCCCACTAATGCCACCGGAGGATGCTCGACGGACGATTGAGCGACGCCGCAATACACGCCAGACCCGCCGTCGTCGAACCCCCGCCTTCATCGCCAGGTCTCGGCGACGGGCCGCAGCTCGCCTCCAACAGCGGGCCCGACCCCGGGCGAATCCTCCCCCACCGACCACACCTCCACCACCACCGCCACCGTCGAACCCGTCGGGCCGGTTCGACCGCTTCAGCCAGGACCCAGAACTGGTTTCGGAGGCCGACTGGTCCGATGCAGAGTAGGATCCACTGTAGAGTAGTATATTTAGCATAATTAATTGCACATGTGGGTATCTGCGGAATGAGTGCATGTTTGACTTGTATGTGCGTAGTGGTGTACGTGTACGTATCTGTGTGCTTGTTACAATGCATGCCTAATTCTTAGTATTATCAATTTTTTTTCCTAGATCGTGGGGACACGATTTTTGTTCCCCACGGGGGGAGGTAATGTTAGGGTGTCATCGATTGACGAATCTGGATTGAGTGCGAGCAGGCGGTGTGGTCCGAGCAACGCTGGCCCAATCGAACAAAACAAGGGTGTAGTACGCAAAATGTACGCATATCGTACAAAGATTCTGTGAAAGCTGTCCAAAAACGGCAAAGTCCATTTCCACTCCCGCCACTCCCGGTGTGGGGGCCGGTGTGGTCGGATTCCACTCCAAGTACACCTACTCCGGATTTGATCGGATTCGACCAAACGATCACGCTCACTCTGAGCACACTTGCTCGGGATTCGCCCAATCGATCATGCCCTTATACGCATCCCATATTTGGATCTCGACCCCGGCATGATTCATACACACTCCATTACCCCCTACCCATGCATGCAGTAATTCGTACACATTCCATTACCCCCTACCCCTACCCCTGCATGCAGTAATTCGTACACATTCCATTACCCCCTACCCCTGCATGCTGTAGTTCATACGCATTCCATTACCCCCTACCCCTGCATGCTGTAGTTCATACGCACTCCATTACCCCCTACCCCTAGCCCTGCATGCAGTAGTTCGTACACACTTCATAACCATATTTGACCCATTACCCCCTACCCCTAGCCCTGCATGCATGCAGTAGTTCGTACGTACACACTTCATAACCATATTTGACCCATTTCCCCGCTGCCCCTGCATGTAATAATTAGTACCATACACATTTGTAGCCCGTTTTCCCTCCTTCTGCCCCTGCACATAAAACCCACCGTACATTTGATCTGATTACATCCCTTTATAGTGTACATAGTCGGGCTATACACATAATATGCGCGCCCAGCTAAATGGGCGCGCTCATGCATTGCACCGTACGTTTTATTGTAGTTCACATAATATAACCAAACTTTCCATAATCTAGCCAGTAGTCGAATCCTTTCCCTAATGCTGGTGTCAATAATCTGTCCTCGTCCCGTGAAGTATACGACTCTCAACTATAATAAACTGGTATCTCTGGTGGTCGTGTGTGAACATAACAAAACCCTATTGATAACACATAGTACCGACTGGCGCGTAGCAACGCTGTTGGAGGTGGTCTGGCTGGAGGGGGTGTGGGGGATATTGTTGTTGTTGTTGTTGTTGACATTCTATTAAATTTTTGTATCGCAGACCAAACGGGCAATGGTGCCCAATATTATGACGGCGGAAAATATCCCCGGGAAAATTTGAAATTAGGGTGAAAAATCCTGCATTCTGAGCACTTCTGGGCCGGACCGGCTCCTACTCCCCTGCTACATACATAGACAAAATTAAACCGATGAGATCACTTACACTCTCCGTATTGGCGTCGATCGACTCCGTCGTGGCAAAGTAAATGGCTGTCCCGGCCGCCGCCCACATCAGCAGGATGATCAGGTTGATGACGACGCGGCGAGAGTACGCCTTCATCGTCTTGTCAAACGTCCACTTCTCGCTCAGCGCCTTCTCGTTCTGAAGCTCCTCCTGAAGAAATAGACACAAGAGAGCAGAGGATGTGAGGGCAAGCACGGTCAAATTGAAGCTCCTCCAGCACAGCTAGAGGTAAGAAAGACGCCGACGGACGCATAACCATCATTTGATCATTTCATATGAGCTATATGCGTGCTGCATCAGTATTATTATTATTACCGTATTATGCAGAGTATAGGTCACCCTTTAAACACCAGCCATTCCGGAAAAAAGTCAGTGCGGCTTATACTACGATTGTCAAATCAACGGTGGTAAATAGGGTAGATGTCTGTATTTCACGACAAACTGGGTTCAGCTTATGAGTTTAAGCTGAACCCAGATTGTTTTTGTCAGCGTGGCCTTTACTCGGGAAAATATGGTGACCCACCTACCACAGCACGGGACACCGCATCAACAATGACTGACCTCAAAGTCCTTCTTGATGCTGATGGACTTAAGTCTGGCGGTGCTCTCGTCGGTGATGGTGAACTCCCACGCACCAAACGTCTTGTTGCTGTAGCTGTACAAACCGCCGCTGTCCTGTACGTAACTCTCACGGTACGCCTTGGCCATGCTGCACGCACACGCACGACAAACCATGCACAGGTACATACAAAAATGAGCCAGTGTGAGAGAGCGGGAGGGACACACACAGTGCGTGTGTGCGTGTGTGTATGAGTGTGTGTACATGTGTGTGACTGCGTGTGTGCACGAGTGTGTGCACGAGTGTGTGCATGCATGTGTGCATGCATGTGTGCGCGTGTGTGTGTGCATGTGTGTGTGTACGTGCGTACGCACATGCATGTGCGTGCACGTGAAACACTCACGGAAAACAACATAACGCACAGCATTGCCAAAACCGTCACAGGG